TCTGGCCCGTCCTTCCTTTCTAATCTCACATCTCTGCGCTGTTCCCTTTATTCCAATTTACTCCTCTTCCCCTGTAAAACGTCCCGACTGACTTTCTTTCTGCTTCAACCCGCCCACGTCCCGGTGCCCCTCGGCCGGCCGGAGCGTCCCCCTCAGTGCTAGCAGCTCCTTCACCGGCTCCATGTGAGCCTGAGGAATTTCCTCTGCAGGTCCGGCTCTCCTCCCGATGGAGCCCGTATGGACACGTGTTGCCTCTGTGTTTATCTCCCAGCGATCAGGGTGGTGATACCGCCGAGGCCCGGGCACGTGTGAAGCCAGGAGGAGGTCCGAGGGGAGACGGTGATGTAGCTGCATAGAAACCAAGACAGAACCGTCGTCTCCGCTGTGCCGGGGCCGCGTGACTCGCTTTTTATTGGGAGTTCTGCTTGACCTCTTAACACCCGCTGAGCTGTGCACACACACAAACAAACAGAAGAGCACTGGAGCTGGAAGGCCATAAACACCAGCATTCACTCACCAACACAAACAAACAGAACTTCATGCCGAGCTCGGGAAGCAACATGATTTCCTCTCTTTTTATTCTGAACAAACTCAGGAGCAGAAACACTGGTTGTTGCTGCTGGTTGTTGGTGTTCAGCTGCAGAGACGTGAGCTGAAAATGTTTCTGCCGTCATCCAGAGTGTCCGACTGTCACGGCCTCCCTGACACGTATGTGGAAACGCAGACCGCTGTAAACACGCCACAGAGCAGCAGCAGTCACAGGGTGAACGTCACGCACAACAACACCGCATCAAGTAAAAAATAAATGTATGTAAAGGCCACAAACTGAAGAGACGAGGGCATTTAGCTAGCTGACAGATTTCCACTTCGCCTCCTGGTGAAGCTAAATCAATTTGTCTCCGCTGAGCCCTTGAATCTGCTTATTTTATCTCCAGCAAGGACGTGACAACCCAAATTATCTGGGGAACGGCACACTGTCACCGACGATATTGTGCCACTGCAGTTCATTTCAATCAGACCCGATGAGCTGGGATGCAGATAAAGAGCTGATTTTGCTCATTCAGTGACAGCGCTGGCTTCTATTTATGAAACCTTCAGCTGCCAGCGTTCCTGCTGCCACACAAATGACACGAAGTGAAAAGTTCCCGAGCTCGTCGAGTTAAAAAAGTTCAATCTTTCATGCGCGAGAACCAAAATTATCTCGGAGGACACGTTCAGGATGAAGAATCCCTGCGAAGACGTTGTTGATCCTCTCAGCGCGGTGAGACGTGCCTCCCCCAGACACACCAAATAAACACTCTGATTACTGACATTCCTCTTTAAGAAAAGACAGTGACCGGGTCAGATCAGTGTTTGGGCATTGCTGCCATTCCACGCGTACTCCCAGCCGGGTCGGTGTCGGTTTAAAGCGTATGGATGTGTATGTCATGGATCCATCTGTGCATGCCAGGTGTGTCTGTTTGTGAACTCTATACATGTGGAAATATGCTATTTGAATCCAGCACGCTCTGAAAATAACCCAGAGGAACAACAAGCAGGAGAGGCTGTCCGTCCATGTGCTGTTGTGTTGGAGAGGAGGGGCTGTGGTAAAGAAACTGCTTCTCCCGTCTGTTTTTCTGTCTTCGGTGGGAACAGAACTCTCTGACTTCTCGGTGAACCATCCAGCAGCACCTTCAGTGTGTGTGCAGCGAGGACACGACACCCAGAGTTTGGTTTGGAGGAGCTCAGGCCCGGAAAGGAAGCGCGTCCTCTGGGGAGTCACCCTGGGGAGTCAAGGATCTGGAGGTCAGTCAAGACAAGCTTGTTAAATTCAACAGGCAGCAGCGGAGAGCGATGTGGAGGAACGAGCAGCATCTCAAAGCAAACAGGCGTTCTGCAGGAATGTTTAAACATTTCTGTCTTTGAAGTCATCAATCACGTTCGATAGGAAAATAAAGCTGTTCTGCAGTACAGTGAATCACTGCCACAACTGGGCCGACAGCTCGTCTCTGACAGGTTTAATCATCCAAAATAGAAAAACAAGACGGCGCCGCTCAGGGAGCTCCAGGCAGCGTGCTCACCAGCTTAGCTTAGCGTGTTAGCATGCATCAGCTGATTACCTTTAAACACAAGGAACACAGCCACAACGGATTTAAACACCATCAGGTATTTGTTACTAAATCAATGATTTGACCTGATGGTGGCGCTAGAGGGACAGGTCAGCGAGGGTTAGTTCTCAGGGGACCTTTAATGTCTTTGTTCATTTTCATGGAAATCCAGCCCTGAATGAGTCGAGTTGGATCCGTCTGGTTCAGCTCGGTGGATCCTGGCTTGTCTACATGCTGCCACCTAGTGGCCGCCTGCATGTGCAACACCATCATGACACAACCCAGTGACGACTGTTTTACTGGTCGTATACAACAAACTGGATTTTAAGGTCCTCAGTCAGAGTGAGACCCGGTAAAGACACTATTTCCTGCTTCTTGAACTTAAAGTTGGGATTTCTCATTGTTCCGTTGGAACACGTTAGAACGTTCTCCAACCCCACTTCACTGGAGAACACATGGAGGGAAAACGTAGGCGATTTCTTTACTTATAAACATTCCCAGATCCAGCCAATACTGAAGTCGTGTCTTTTCTGTTTTTGTGTGAAAAAGCACTTTTACACCATTTTCTAAGGAGCATGTTTCCATGTTTCACCGTGTCAGCGAGCAGAACTCCAGCTCATCCATGGTCCATGGTGGTGTTCATGATGAGACCATACAGCATGCATCAGGTATCAAGAGAATCTTTATTATTAAAAAGGTGTAAGAAACAAGAATCCCCATGCCACCGTGGGTCCAAAGTGATCAGAACACCTGCTTCTGAAATCAAAATGTGAATGTTTGCCCACATCCT